TACACATCCCACTTTTTTCATTAAAGGGGACCTATCATAAAAAATGCACTTTTGTACGTCTTTTATACATGAATATGTGTCCCCGGTGTTCCAGGGAACTCACCAAGTGTCAGAAAACACAACCCTCTCTATTTTCCTCCATACCCAAATCTCTAAAAAAGGGGCTGCAACGGATCTGATAAAAACTGATCCAGATTTGAACACTGTCCTCACGTCAGGACGGTGGCGCTACGGCTATTGGGCCAACTCTCCACCTATCAGGGGAATGTGGGGTTGGGCCACGGCCGGCCATTGCCGCTCGAAAGCGCTGGAGCCGCTGTAGTACATATGCCAGGCCTGTAAGTGGCGCTGTAGTCTGCCACAAAAGCAGCGAAGAAGACTTCCCGCCCATAGTTACCATGGTTACCCTTCTGTTTATTCTCCGCTGTGGCTTTTTTTCTCCCTCCCCGAGGCAAGCGTTTGCTCCCGCTGCAAACGCTTGCGGGGAGGGATTGCTCAATGCAATTGCTCAATGCAATCCCTCCCCGTCGAGGCAAGCACTGTAATTCTCTCCGGTTAGTCCACCAGCAGATGACAAACACTCACCTCTCCGCCTCTTCCAAGGAACGAGGGGACCGTGCGGCAGAGTTTCAGTTTCAGTTACTTTCGCCGGTCAAGATGTCCGTTAAAGTTTAAATCTTCCGGACAAAATTAGAAAAGTGCCGGACAAAGGTCTTTCTGTTTATTCTCCGCTGTGGCTTTTTTTCTCCCTCCCCGAGGCAAGCGTTTGCTCCCGCTGCAAACGCTTGCGGGGAGGGATTGCTCAATGCAATTGCTCAATGCAATCCCTCCCCGTCGAGGCAAGCACTGTAATTCTCTCCGGTTAGTCCACCAGCAGATGACAAACACCCACCTCTCCGCCTCTTCCAAGGAATGAGGGGACCGTGCGGCAGAGTTTCAGTTTCAGTTTCTTTCGCCGGTCAAGATGTCCGTTAAAGTTTAAATCTTCTGGACAAAATTAGAAAAGTGCCGGTCAAAGGTCTTCTTTGTTATTTATTGAGCTTTAAAACAAATGAATAACGACTCTATATGATAAAACACGGAGGATGGAGATCTCTTTTTCTCCCCCTCTTCTGACAGCCCAGCAGCTGATCAGAGCACGTCTCCCCTCTCCTGCAGGGGGGCGTGGACAGCAGAATCAGACCCGTAGACAGCAAACAGCACATAGAGCGAAATGAGGCATGGCTAAAATGCATGATCTGTTTGGTATTTTGAAAACAGAAACGTATAAATATACCTTATATAGGTATGGCCCTATAATATATCATTTAAATATAGCATGATAGGTCCACTTTAAATTATTATCACATCAGGCAGGATAGCATAGGGGTGTTTGAATAACAAGGGATGCAGCAAAAGTTATTTTACACAAGGGAATTAAAACAGACATAAATTAACATAAGAGGATACATTGCCATAATTAATGGAAAATAAAATAAATAGATTAAAATATACTGAATTGAATGCAAACCATAATAAGAAAAAAAAGGTGGGAAATAAAACTGAAAAAATTGAATGCAATACATAAGGAACATTTGGAAAAGAAAAAGAATAAAATATACCAAATAGAATACATAACATAAGAGGAATGAAAGCCATTGAATATAGAAATAGAATCAACCCTGCTACAAAACCTCACTTATTAAAACGTGTATTAAATGTTTACTCCCATATTAGCATCGTGAGCCTGTCATAAAACATGAATTGAGACTAGTTATACTATGTAAGGCCTGTCATTCGGCATACAGTAGGCCAATGTGTTTCCTTGCATTGAACTCAATCATTGTTATGTGTATTGTTTGACAGCTTGTCGTTACTTATATTACCAGGAAAGGTAAGGCGACAGGAGGAAGAGGACTACTTTTTTCCTTTGGACTCTTAAAATTAATTCGGCGTATTAATCTGGAACAGAGGCAGGAACAATAACTTGGCTGACTGGGCAGAAACACATCCTTGTGTGATCCTAGTGTGATAGAGAAAAGTATTAATTCTCAGTTTACCTTTGCTCATCCTTCCCCAGGTGACAGTTGAGAGGAAATGCTCCAGGGCAGCTACCGTCCCTTGAGCTATCACAGAGTCCGACACCAGTATGGTGTTGTTCAGGTCTACATGAAGGACTAACTTTTTCCTCCGCTCAGGATTAGAGCACCGCAGCCCCCGCGGGACTGTTACCGTGGGGTCACCTGTCCCGCACACAGGCTCCAGGACATCTCTGCTCTGTGTCCCGTCGTGTTCTTCAGCTTCACGGCCGTTTCTCTCACCAAACTCCGCCATAGGTAGGATACAACTAACAACGGTAGTAGAGTTTAAAATATTTCAACTAAAACTTGCTACTTAACCGGCTGAGCTGTGTGACTCAGCGGCACTTCCTCCATGATGCCGTCTGCTTCTTCTTCTACGCCTGTAATGCTGCACACCACCAAAGAAGAAACAGCGCTATCTCCCGGTGAGCTGAAATATGTAGCGATGTTCATGTGAGGTTTTTTTTTGTGGCGAACCATAGTATCACTTTTTTAGGTAGATTTAGTTTTAGATTTTTTAGTTTTCAAAACTTTTAATGACCTACTATAATTAGACTTTTTATGGTAACGTTTTATGACATTACTATAACTTTTTGTGACATTTTGATTGGCTACTATATTTTCCCTTTTTATGATACATTTTATCAAGGTCTGCGCTAACTTTTTTTAAAGTACTAATTCATTACTTTTTTTTAATGGCACTCTTTTCTGTAGTAGCAGTGGTATTTCTCACACCTTCACAGATGTCACTTTTTTTATTGTTAATTCATTCTGTGTAGTTGGTTCGAAGGGTAAATGTGATAGACATATTCTGATTATTCATAAAGCAATGTTTATCTGAACAAACATAGGCTATTACTGTCTCATTTTGAATTTCTAAATGTTTTAATATTTTAGCCCTCTAAATCATAGCAAATATATTTTAAAGTCAGGTTTTTGCTAGTGAATATCAAATATTCCTAGAATGTTTGTGGTCTAAAGTTCGAAGAACCATCATATAGGCTGAAATATTGAAGAAATGCATTGTTTTTAAATCTCGTTTTATGTTATTTTCTCTCTCGACTATCAGTCGAATAGTACTTTTTTTATTGAATTTGTATTCATACAACATAACTCTACATGGAAAAAACTGGCTTCATGTCCCAAACTTATGCTATGATGAGAAGTTATCATATCCAACACACACAAAAAAGAACAAACCCAATAATGTTAGCAGTTCTCAAAATTGTTTTTATTTATATTAACCATTTATATGTATCCACAGCAGCATTCTTAACGATCCCCACTTTATATATGCAATCGATTACAAAGGAGAGGAGGGTTGAGACTGGATAACTCACGCTAAACTGAAATTAATTAAATGAAAAAAATCTCTGAGGAACTGATGGAGGGGGGGGGGGGGGGTATTAAACAGGGGCGGGGGTTACAACCTGTTTGAACATGCACCTTTCAGATTATGCTGAAGCCTTAGACAATTGCATCCACAGGATCGAAAATATCTAAATAAGTAAAAAAAAAAAGAAGACTACGCTACAGCAAAATAAAGTTCATAAAGCGACAAAAGATAGACGCGTGTGCCCTCCGTGTTAAAAAAGAAAGTAGCAGGTCAGCACATGGTTTTCCTTTAAATACACTGCTACTACTCCCATTAATTTACCCTGCCACAAACAACCTTGAAAAAAAAAATGTTTTTACACACCTTACAAGAATCTCTACTCCCCGGATGTACCCTCATATTGGACCGTGGCTTTAGCCGGGGATTACCAGGTCAGCTCCGGGTTAACAGAGAGGTTTTTAACTTAAAACCAGACCACAAGGTGCATTGCCGTGGAAGCCTGGAGGCCGCTCCACTCGGGTTGAATTTATGTTGCAGGAATTTATAACGAGCTGCTATCTGTAGCTCAAAAATCACAGAAGTGTGTGTCACTATATACACCAATTGAATATAATAACATGGTTTGTTATCAATGGATATTAATGAGAGTATATCAATGATAGTTAGTTCATATGAGTATCTTTCACAGAGGAATCCTCAGATGGTGCACCGTTAGTGAGACACGGGTCCAGATGTGTCTTTAGCTTCCCTGGATTTCCTTCACCATTAGTCCACCTCCTCCATGTTGCTGTAGGATGGAGCTCCGCACTCTCCGTGTGCGAAGAGGTCCGAGGGAACCTCCGGGTTCAGCGTGGTCGGCCCCTCAGGATCCAGGTCTGCCCCGAATAGTGACTGGCTAGCGGCCTGTAAAATAAACCAGCGTTTAAGATAAATGTGCTGTATAGTTTCTGGGAGTGTATGTGTGGGGTGATTTAAATAACATGCATGGAGACTATAAAAAGATGCAGATTTTATTTCCATAAAAGGAGAACAGTGATTTATATATATTAGGAAGCAGCATTAAGATGGAGGTATCTAAAAACATTATTATTTTTAAATAAAAAATGTCAACAATGCAGTGATTCCAAGCGTACAGAGAGAATTTAAATCCTTCAAGTTATGATTATTCTTTGCAATTATACATGTTATGGCAGACTACATACACATATAGGGCTGTAACTGACATTCATTTTCTCATTGATTAGTCTGACAGCTATTTTCTAGATTAGTCGAACATGTCAAATAATGAAAAGAAAGAATTGAAGGTAATAAAAAAAAAAAATCCTAAAATCTTTTGTTTTGTATGACTCAAAATACATTCAATATGAAAAAAAAGAGGAAAATATCAATATTTGAGAGGCTGAAAACAGCATTTTCTGAAGTTTTGAATGAAAAAATAAGAATAATTAAAATTGTTCATTGTTTTTCCGTCAAATGTATAGTGGAATAATAACACACACACACACACACACACACACACACACACACACACACACACACACACACACACACACACACACACACACACACACACACACACACACACACACACACACACACACACACACACACACACACACACACACACACACAATATTTATGTTTTTGAGCTCCAAATATGTCCATAATCAAAGTCTTTCCACAGAGTGACACATTGAAATACATTCAGAGGTGGACGGTATTTCTTATCACACTTTCTTACACATTTCTTATTTAACTTGCATTGTCAGTCAATTTCTCATCTTGTTATATTAAAAAAAAAACAGAGCAACACATAGTTTACTACATTTCATCCTGAGAACTTAAAATACTCACTATATGGCTTTCAAATGTATAAATACATAAAGGACCAACTAATACAAGCATTTTAATAAAAGAAAAAAGTCATGAAAAAAAGAAAAAAGGAGAAGATATTGCAAAACAATTACTATAACAATTTAAGCACTTTAAAAAAGCAGCAGCAATTGGTCACACGGAAGGTTTCCTTTGCTTCATGATTAGACATTTACATTAAAACACTGTTGCCGTGCCTCTTCTCACACTGCAGGAAGTAGCGATCTCTTCTCTTTAGAGTGTAGTGCAATACTAGCCTTCCATAGTGGCTACAACTTTGTCATTGCTCAGCTGATAAGCACTCGATACATTACTGTACAACTATGGTTTCTTCAGATCCTATCTGAGAGTCCAATTGTACAGAGCTCTAACCCAGCTTTCACTGCCTTTCTGTGTGTTGGATTTATTTGCCAAAGATTTAATACAGCTCCATGATTAAATAATCAATGTCTGAGAACTATTTAAAGAAAATGTGAGTTAAACTTGGCAAATTTGTCAAAAAGCACACAAACTGAAAGCAAGAGTCAATTAACTGCATAGAGGCAATGTAGTTAAGGTGTACACTCAATGTACCGGTGCTGTGTGTTGATAGTATTATTCTACTGCAACAAGTAACCGCCTGGTGTGCTGTTGTCCAATCAGTGTTGAAGATACATTTAGGCGATTTGAACAACACATTCCTCAGTGAATGCTATATTGACCAAAAGAAGCCAGCACTGTTTTCAGCTGCAAAATCAGCTGTCCTTTTCCATCCCGCGTTGTCATTTACCATCAACACTGATTGGACATTTATATCAAATCTGAGGGGTTTTCTGTTTAATCACAACGGTTTATTATTCTAAAGACGATATTTTTGCTCTTCCATGGCTTTAATGTGTCACGAAGCGCTTAAATGTGGCTTAACAATTAATACAATCTTATAATTGTGTCTCTCCACAGTTAAATTAAGATGATCAGATGATTCAAATGCTCTGCTTACAAAGAACTCTGCTGCTTATCAAATCAAGCGCTTCTTGAACCTGGCAACCTGGCATCTGACAAAAAGTGTTCCCTAAAATCAATAAATAATTATCGCCATAATAGTGCAGCCCTATGCTTTAGTAGAATTTAAAAGGTTGAGCCATGTGATGTTATACATACACTTCAAGATGTAGGTAAACTAGCTGAAGCCCATGAATGCATTACTCAGTACTTCCACAAGAGGATTGGTTAAGTATTTAAACTCCCCTGAAGTTTCCCATCTAACCTGACATACTTCTGAAAGCACCGGCTAAACCCCCGCTCAGGCCCAGTTGGCTCTGTACAGCAGAGGGTAGACCAGATTAAGGAACAGAGCGAACAGCGCTGCCAGCGTTCCCACAACAAAGTATCGCACACAGTCATCGTCAGGATAGTCCGACATCCTCTGCCTGCGGGGCCGCCGCACCGCCCCATCGCTTCTGTCCGCCTCCTCCTCCTCCTCCTCCTCATCTTCGTTCCTCTGCGTTTGTCGTCTCCGCAGCGGAGAGCGGAACAGTCCGCGGGGGCCTTCGTCAAGCCCCTCCTCTTCTTCCTCCAGTTCCCGCCATATTAGAGAGGCCTGCGATTGGCGGAAACCGGTGTCAGCTTCTCGGAAAAGGCGTTGACTAACAAATACTTTGATTACATTTAGAAATATTTAGCTGGTGAAACCCACAGGGACAATTTCATAGGCTTGTTTGGCAGACCTCAGATGGTTAAATGTTTCATTAGGATTGTCTGAAGTGGGGTTGTACGAGTTGCTTATCCACAGTCAGTGTATTACCTACAGTAGATGCTGTTTGGAGAAACAATAGCAGTACCAGCAGGAAGCTAAGCAATGCACTGCTAAGGACGGGTACTGCTGTACAATATATTTAGAATATTTTTGACCCCTTAACCTTGCCCTGACAAAATAAAATACATATTACCGTAGCCCCAAATCAACGGTAATTCATTGCTCAGTTTCCTGCCGGTACACCCGTCTGTTTCTAAAAACTGTCCGCATTCCGACCGCCATCTTGTAGTTACACTGACAATGGATAGGTTCCTAATACAACTCTACTTGTAAACATACCATCTCCTTTAAGTTTGTAAGGATATTCTAAAGATGTAATAGTTATACATATTTGGGATTATCAATTACACACAAGCATCTAAACTGTTTTCCTGAAGCCAAATCCCATGGTAGGAAAGGTATGCACACGCTACACAACCTGGTACATATCGGGAAAAAGGGTTGTGCAAGTGGACTTGAATACACTCACTGCAGACCGCTTATCTCTTGTATTCTATAAGATGATATACAGTCTTAAGTCATTAACAGCATCACAAGGTTACACCTGACAACCAACGTGATAAAAAGACAACACATTTGTTGAATTCTGAATCAGTCAGCAAGTGGAGACGACAAAAGTGAAGGAGATCATGCTCTGTGATACGACCCCCCTCTGAACTTACCAACTCCACATAGACGTGTAAATGTTGGAGAGCACAGCTCGAGCTCTCCACCTCATCACTCAAACAGAAATCCTCACAAAAGCACTCCACTCCACTAAAGCTGCAAAGAATGAAATGTGTAAAGAAGCTAATGCTGCCAGACAGCTGAGCTTTGTTAAATGCAAGGAAGGATTGAAGGATGGTTCCATTCTGAAGCCACAGGCTGCAGTTATTAAGCAGCTCACAGCATGAGCTCCTGTCATGACTCAGTTAAAGAGATATTGGTTCCCAGAGACACTAAACACACAGACCTCTCTCAAAAGACCTACCAAATAGAGCTCATTTCCGAATCTTGAGTAACCGGGTCATTATTTCTTTAAAAAAACATTAGTGAAAAGAGTGCAATATAGTTTTATTATAATGGAAAGAAGGCAGATACAGTATCTCTACGGCTGATACCTCAAACACTCAGCAACTCAAACCAAAACGATTTCATTGATAAATAGCCAAACAGGTAATTAGTATTATATGCATTTTTTATTTTGGGGTGACTGTCGATTTAAGACAAAACAAAACTTACATGGCATTAACTGTGATTCTGCAACACTTCACCCCAAGCTATTCCATTCATACCGATTCAGGGTGAAATTCTCACAAGTAAATTGAAAGAGGGGCTAACTTCTCACTCAAAGGTTTATAAGAAAGATGATATTATAACCATGGCTCACACATCTCAATGTGAAGCCCTCTGTCTCAGTGTTGTGGCGCCCTCACCTGGCTGGCAGTGGCTCCTGCAGAAGTGGGCGACTCGGCTCCTACGGGCCTGAGGAAGCGCGGTTGCCTCTCCACGGGGGAGTTTCGCCGCCGGTAGAAAAGGACGTAGGCGTAGCGCGTCACCACCTGGCTCTCCTCCACCATTGTCACGGTGCTGTCATCAAACAGACGCCAGCCTGTGGGACAGGGAGGACAGGTAGAGGGGGAGAAAAAAAAAGGTAGGATTGAAGAATTGTCACAACTGCTAACAATTATATCCAGCTGGGAATACGGCACAGTTCCAATCTAACCCCTACTTCCTCTCCCTCTTCACTGCCACTCTGTTTGAGAATTCGCCACATTAACTGCAGTTTCAAACGAACTAAAGGGGTGTGGATGTTATTAAAGCCTCCAACAGGAAGTCTGCATCAGCCCTGATTAACCTGCTACGTGCAACGATGTAAACATTTACTAGTAAACTTTGCAAAATAAGAAACATTTTAGGTTACATTTTATTTTAAATGTTTTACATAGGGTCATATATACCAGTGCCTAGTTTAGAAAAGTTTGTATATTTGTACAGCTCACTAACATCTGATTTAAACCAAAAAATAGTTTTACAAAGAAGAAACGCCCCTTTACTGAATTTACACCGTGGATATAAAATGTTATTGTTTCTGCCGGAGAGAGTGGAGTTTATCCCAAAGCTATTTACCCCCTCCACCCAAAAGAAGGGCCATCATTCAGCTGAGAGTGACACTACTGACCGAGTTCACTCAGTCAGAAAGGGGGAGGGTGTAGGGTTGGGTTTGGAATTGGGCCTAAAGCTTACTGACTGCACACTCACCAACATCACTGCGCTGGCTGTTCTTGTCACTGGGCAGGCGGGCGTAGGAAGTGTAGTGACCTCCGATCATTCCTCCATAGTGGTTGATGACTGCGTACAAGTCGTAGATGGGAGGTTGTTGCATATCATCCTTCTGGCCAATACAGAACTTACTAAGATCCAGATTCCTAGAAGACAGGAGTGCACAACGGTGTAAACATATGATTAAAGTAAATCTAAACAAATGCAACAGGTGGTTGGAGTTCAACTTTTGACTGTGCGTTTACCTGACAGGGAAGTCCACCATGTCGTTGATCTTGTCCCTCCAGATGAAGCTCCTGAAGGAGAAGCGTTTGAGCTGGATGATCAGGATGTTGGGCAGACGCCACAGCAGCAGCTGCTTGGAGGCCTCTCGGTGCTGCTGGCACTTTGGACAGTACCTGCAGGACAGACAGAGTGTGGATATGAATCACTGCTCTACATCGCCCTGCTCCCCAGGAAAATACAAACACTACAGTGAGGGGATGAAATATTAAAAGACGTCAGTTTCAAAAGAAAATGAAGGCACTCTGACTTGTGGAAACCAGGAGGTAAAGGCCTTCACTGAATGCCCCTTTAACAGATTTAGTATGCATGTGTTTGTATGCTAATGCATGCTGAGATCCCTTCTAAAGTAAACGCAGATAAGATGTCGTTTAAAATATAGAGGTCATTTTGGAGGACTTTTGTCATGAATTTCTGTATTATTTTATAGAGAGTGTGTCCAAAACATGATCAAATGCTCCTGAAATGAATATACAAATATTGTGTTAATGCAACCTTGGGAGGCAACAAGAAAGAAAGTTCTTGCATTATTTTAGTTTGAAATCCCAGAATAAAGATCCCTACCATGCCTCCTCTGGAGCCAGCACCTCTGGCCTGGTGAAGAGGTTGAGGCACTGCTCCAGGGTGAAGTGTCCTGCTCTGGCCGTCTCACTCAGAGAGCCGGGGTCCTCGTCGTACTCCAGCTCCTTAGAGCTCACCAGCACGTACTCCTTCAGACGCTCGTTGTTTTTCCACACCAGCTCCAGGGTGGCGTCTTCAGGGAGGTCTGCAAGAAGGTCCTCTGCGAAGGGGGCGTGGATAAAACCTTTGTTTTACAGCGTTCATTGAATACAAGCTTATGTTACATAAAGAAGAAGAACCCACTACACATTGTAATATAGTGTCGTACACCAGAAACCACGGTCTTAAAACATTACTATGGAGTAACTGTAATTCCGCAAATCACGACAAAAACATACATGAGAATAGGATTACTAAGAATCCAACTGAATATCAGTACTTAAGGACATTCTGGTTGTACCTCTTTCATCCAGCCTCTGTTCCTTGTTGTTGTAGTCCAGCACAGCGATATAGAACTGACTGGCGTGACCCGATGCTGATTCAATTGGCTGCTGATAGCCTGTTACTGCAGCTGTAAACAAATGACAAGATTGAGGACTAAAGGGATGTAGAGACAGCAAATGATCATAGAAATATTTAAACAAATATCTGAACAATGTAACCCCTTGGCAAGGCAAGTTTATTTATATAGCATCTTTCATCACAAGGCAATTTCAAGTGCTTTACAAAAATGAAAGACATTAAGAAAATAAAATAGTCATATTTCAACATTTATTCAACATGTCTAATTCAAGGTTTTTGTTTGTAATATCGATATCCTGTGAAAAGCAAACATTCTACGTTGCTTAGTTCAATTCATAAGCTTTGAATGACTCGGCGGAGATTGACAGCCACCGTTTTTTTTCCAATATTTGCAACACTTGTGGATATTTGTTTTTTTATATACCCACTCTTGCCTACTTTTGGAAAATGAATAACCAGCAAGATTCAACATGCAATTTATGATTTTGGTGGTGTGTTATAGTACACAACGTAAACTTGAGTCCTCCCTAATCCCAGCTATGATCCATAGAGGTGAATAACTTAATGTGACAGGAACAAAACACTGCTTGGGGTTCTGAGTTAATGTTAAGCTTTATTATTACCTTCTGGGCGCACTGCTTTCTCACAAGACGTCTCTTTCTCTGCCAGATGGTCCAGAGAGCAGCAGGAAGCAGAGGAGATCGGCTCAGAGAATCCTGAGTCTGCAGTCCGTGTGGTGGAGAGGGAGTTCTGGGAGGAGGACAGGGAGTCCCCGGAGAGGAGCGCTGAGGCTTGAGCGGACTCTGCTTGGGCCTCAGGCAGCAGGGGGGGGCTCTCCAGATCCTGATCAGCTGCTCCTACACTGCTGCCACCCACAGCCTCATCCACGGACCCAGGGCCCTCAGGAGAGCCTGCTGGCATTGGGGGGAGGTCAGTGCGGGACTGGGGTGTTTCGGGGGATGTCCTGTCTGACTGGAAAGGAGGCTGGAACACGTTGACGGAAAACCTGCACAGAGAAGATCAACATTAACTGACAGCGGACTGCATTTTTAAAGTGGGCGATTCCTTGCAGAGATCTTTAAATGACAGGGACAATGAATCCCTGTTGAATATATACGAGTAGTTGTAACATGCAATTTATTTTGTTATCTAAAAAGTAGTGTACCTGGTGTAGCCCTCCAGCAGTTGGGTGAGGCGGGCGTAGGAGAGGCGGGACTCTGGCACGCTGATCAGGAAGGGCAGGCCCACGTTCTCTGTGTTGGGGCGACACAGACCCTTGTGATGGAGCCAGTGGGTCTTCTGACAATCTCTGTCAAATGTAGAAGAGATTTGTAAAAATTGGCAGATTCAGAAATAATTTCTACCCCAACAAATCTTATTCTTACGATCTTGACATGTAATCGAGTGGTGCAGGAATGAGTCGTAAAACCAGGAAATGTGTTAGCATTTCACCACTTCAAGTTCCCTTGTCCCAAAGTCAAACGTTTTTTGTATGTGTTTTTAGTTAGATGCTTGAAATAAGATCTGTGGTTAACACAAGCTGAAGAGATTTCCACCTTTGTTTCTTATAATAAAAGCTTTTGTGTGTTCAAAAAAATGGCAGTTGCTAACAAGTGAGCAAATGAGACTATCATCACGCTGAACATTAGCCACCTTTAGCTCAGCAGTGGTGATGCGCAGCCATGCAACACTGATGTCGTTTATTTATAGCCTAACTTAGTGTTTTACTTTTGCCGATAGCATTTACACTTTAAAAATCATAAAATATGTGAATATGTGGAGATTGTCCCGCTAAACAAAATGTGTAAGTATTATTAACGTGTTTGCCAAATATATTTCTTTCTGCAATATTCCAAAATCCAATGGAAAAATCGTATTGACTATTGTCGAGGGAGCCCTTGTGACGCTAACTTCCGGGTCATCCTTCAAAGATACGTCATCACTGCACCACTCTATTTTGGGCAAGGCATCTGGTAGTAGAACTCACTGGTTGCAGTAGCCCACACGATAGCAGCGTGTGCAGCGCTTCAGCTTGTCGTCATCACACACCGGAGGCTTCAAGCAGGCGGCACACTTAGAGATGGGAATATTAGGGACCTGGAGTCTCTGTAGGGAAAACACATGGCAAAGGAAAAAAAACTCAATATCTTTAAATCACCCACATTTAATACGCTTTAGGAAAAATCCGGTTTTAATCACCTGCTGCACTCGGAGCAGAACCACCCTCTCTTTGGCCATGTCTTTGGAGAGCACCTCAAAGCAGAACAGCATGTCGGAGGAGGACACCGTGTCCAGGGAGTGGGACCGCAGGAACATGCGCTGGAAGCGGTTTTTCCCCACCTGAGAGGACAAAATAACGAGTACAGTTGTGTCCTTCAGCAGGCCGTCTCCAATTGCTCCATTTACAGTTTGTTTTATTTGCGTTCCAAACCCACATAATGAGTACAGAAAACATGTGAAACTTAAGGGTAAAGTTAAACAAGTAATAGTATTGTAATTATTATTTTTAACTGTATGTGTTCACTCATCATATGTATCTGTATTTTCTTTTGTTGTGTATGCCCTGTAGTAATATTATTTCTTAAATCGAAAAAACATTTGAAATAGAAATCATGTTAGAAATGTCAGGAAAAAATAACTGTGAATATTTGTTATATCACACCTCTGCCAGCCTGAGGTTCTCTGGTTTGACGCGGACATTCCTGGAAATGGATTCGAGGACTTCAGCCGTGCTGGAGTTCTCCTTACTCACACTCACCAAGAACTGAGACACAGATAAACATAAATAAACATAAATGAACATTAGACAAAAGATACATCTTGTGAAAACATATAAAGGTATATGTGCTTAAGTGGAGATTAGAAAGGTATGTTATCTTACCTTGATGGGTTTCTTATGAGGTTCCTTAGCAAAGTAGAAAACTGAGAGCACCTTTTGTTTCTGGGGTAGGGGCACGGGCAGGTAAAGGAAAGGGTCAAAGGTTATGGACACCTGGAGAAAAAAAAGAGAGACGTGAGGAATGGTGAAAGGAATGATTTATTTCAAAAACAAAGCAAACATTTCCATATTAGGAAGAACATTTTGAAGAAGGTACCTTGGAGCACATGGGGCAGACCAGCTTGGATTTGAACTGGCCCTGGAAGAGGTCCACTATGAAGGAATCGTTTCTCATCTTGTGCCTCTGCCATGCCTCCTCTGCCACCACCTGCACCAATACAGAAATCACATCAGAATGACCTACAGCTTCACCATTTAAAGAAACAAACAACACTAATAACTCAGATACTTATTGATGCCTCTTAAATGAATTACAACTCAACCAATTATATGAGGCAGCGTTAGAAAAGGGAAACATATGGGGAAAAGGGCATAGGAAACCCAGTCCATATCTGGTAACCTCCGTTTTCTCTCCTCAAGATCTCTGCTGAAAAACCTGACCTGTTACTTTAGTACCCTCAACCAAGAAATCCAAATTAAGTGGGTCTTAACAATCCTGCTCGAGGGAGTGTAGATCAGTTTCTGCATACCATGCACATGTTTGTTTATGTCCTCATGACATTTTATAAGAGAGGAGTGGGCCATTTATTCTCAGAAATTCAACACTTTGTCTTTTACCTTGGAAATATCCCTAAAGGTTTCAAAAAAAGCGACATATCCCCTTTTGAGGAGAACCCCTCCCTCCATTGCTTTTCTTATAAACCTAAAACACTATTAGCTCAATAGAAAAAATCACTTCGCTTTCATTTTATTTTTATTTGCACAGATTTGACAGTATTTTTTTTTTAACTTATTCTAAGTCACAAAAAACAAGAACATCAGAATTGACAAGAAGGAACAGTTAATATTTCAACAGAAAATTCCACAAAAGGAACATTCTTTTATTTGTCATTACCCTGTGAAAAGTAAGAATTTAAGTGCTAGTGGCCATGCTTAAAGCTAAGTCACTTATCACAGCACGTTTACCACTCAAGACTTCTAAACCCCACCACCTCTCGATAGCTCATAGGTGAGAGAAACACCCACCTCATCCAGCCGCCCGTCAGAGTCCACCGTCTCCGTGTAAGGTTTGTTCTGGATGCGGTTCAAGTCTTCATGGAGCCCGTCCAGCAAGAACGCCATGAACTCCTGGGCGTCGTGCTGGGCGTAGCCTGTAAACTGACTGGCTTTACTGGCCACTATAGCCTGTACGGGGACAAAGAAGGAGTGGGAATGAGGGGCATTAAGGCACTGATCACGTTGCTCTTGCTACACTCAGCATGATATGTTTCCTTTGAGAAGATTAGGTATAGTTCACATGGAAAATCTCTGCTTGTGTACCTTGAGTTTGGAGGGTTGGAAGGCATGATGTGTTCCTTTCCAAAGGGCCCTGAGGAGCACAGCGAAACCAATGGCTAGCCGGCCTCCTGTCCCCAGAGGATTATTGCAGTTGATTTCTGACTCAAACCCTCGATCTACAGGAGTAACGAAAGAAGGCATGAGACACCGGGAGACATCAATCACAGAGGTCCCTGGAGCTTAGACGTTTATGGATACAGACCGAAAGGACATCACGGATACATTTCCTCAGAATGTATCCGTGTGGAGGAATGTGAAAAGTAAAGCCCTTTAGTTGAAGACCAAAGATAAAAGCTTTATTGGTTTTAAAACATTTTAAATGCAAAGGTTTAAATTCAAATGAAAGGTAGTTCTCTAAACTGATACCCACACAGTTCCAGTTAAATGTCATTTAAAAAAAGGATTGGATCTTTCGATTTTTTACGTTCATACTTATGTTTTATTAATATATCTTTTTTTTTTACTAAAACAGAAAGAAAAGAAAATAACATATTTATTTCAAGTTAAAGGTGGGGTAGGTAATTTTGGAGAAACCAGCTTGAGTGCGCTAGAATTAGAAAATACACAACCGGAAAAAATCTGCCACTTCCTTACAGAGCCCCTCCTCCAACACACACAAACGCTCACATGACCAATGAGGGCACGAGATAAGTTTGTGCACAGATGGAAGGCTGACAGGCAGGCAGGCCATCCAGTTATTTTAGCCGGGCCGGCTCAGATGATTGGCCGTGCTTTTTACAGCGCCACAGCTTCCACAGATGACATTTTTTTATGTATTTATTGTCAAAGCATTTAATATATTCATCGCTATCGGGATGTTAAGAGCATTCCATGGAATATAACAAAAAGTGTTTCTGAAATAAATTACATACCCCACCTTTAAATGTCCAATAAAAGATCAATTTTTTTTTTTTTTTCATAAACATAAGAAGTAAAAGAAAACAATCAAATAAAAATTAAAAAAAATTATAAAGATAAAAAAATTAAAGTTAAAATGTGCACATTGTAATGTAACCTGTGCTAAGGAAACAAACTAGATAGTATTCACCATGGAAGTAATCCCTGAGTTCTCTGCTGTTGGACAGGGATTGGATGACGCTGTTCATGAAGCAGGTGTTTCCGAGGTTGACCAATCCTGTAAAACCAGGCAGGCACACCTTCTTCTCCTCCTCTTCTTCATGGCGCTCGTTGCTGGCGGGAGTGGCGTGGGTCATGGGCTGCACCATGCAGGTGGGTTTAGGCTGTGTGAGAAAGATTAATACATAAATTCTACAAATTAAAAACATTCTAAATAAGTCATTTCAAATATCTGATATTGCAATTAGGATATGAATTGTAAAGGATTTGTCATCTTCCTGCTCACCGTGGTAACAGCTAGCTCTGGCTTGGAGATAGGGACATGCTCAGAGACGGAGCGAGGAGCCACGTTATCCAGACCTCCATCATCCATCCTGGACAAGGCTTTAGGGGGCTTGGGTTTCTCCTCCCCGACCCTGGGGGGCTCCTCCATGGCGGGGTGGTTGTGCTGGCTGCTGCCCGGCTGACTCTTCTCCATGCAGGATGGGCTGGAAGGAACAGCGACCTTGGCTCCACCCACTGCACCTTGAACAGGAGAATGGAGCTTGTGGTTAGAAGCTAAAGGTCTGCACAAAAACAAGACACTGGACGGTGCTGGCCGTGAATAGCTGTAAACAGAGTTTGTAAAGCCTTTTCATGAAGGCAGACTTTAAAAATAAAAAAATGGTGCAAAAATCATTATTTTTGAGTTAATACAGGGTTCCTGCAGGTTTTAGCAACTCAAATGTAAGACTTTTTAAGACCACTTTGAATAGAATTTAAGACCTATTTCACGACAAGAAAGTATGAAGGAAAATTACTATGAAAGAAGAAATACGAAATAAGTAAATGTATTCATGTGCAACATAAGAACGATGACTGAACATAACAGCATAACAGTACACAGAACTGTGTTAGCGTGTTAGACAAAAAGTGTGTGTGTGTGTGTGAGACAAGAGCTATATTCAGAGCTCTGCTGCCTTCATGCTGTTGTATGATTATGATAATGGTGTTTAGCTACGGTATTTAGCATCCACAGCACCTCCGCTTTTAGGGTTGACGTAGACTGCTGCTCTAGCTAACGCTGCATTAGCTAACGCTGCATTAGCAAAACGAACACGTTGCACCTCGCCCACTGGCTCGCTGCTGCGAGGAGCTGAGAGTGTGAGCTGGCTTACTGGTGTGGTTTCCTGCTTGCTGCGAGACATCTCGAATGGACACGGGAAGGGGGGGGGTGCTGAGGGGGCTGCCCCATCTGCGAGGCTCCATTAGCACCCCCCCCCCCCAAGCGCGTCACATTTTTGCCGCTAAAAGAGTGTGTGTGTGAGGAGCTATTTGGGTCGTCGTTACGTCACTTAGTACCAGGAAGAAAAAGAGAAATCTCCAACGAGGCGTTCTGGGGCAGCATAGACAGGTCTTTTCTGTGTTACGGGCCGTCTCCACAGCAGCGTTAAAAAAATCTTGAAACGCTTCTGCCCATTCACTTTCCCTCACTTTTCGCCGGAATGCATTGTGGGCAGGCGAGCGGAGATTCTCAGGATTTTCAAGATCCAAAGTTGAACAATGTTCAACTTTTGAAGCTGAGGAGGAAGCGTCAGCCAATCAAATCCCGTGTACGCAAATCTGACAGTTCAAGCTCTAGCCAATCAAACGGCGTGTATGCTGGGAGAGCCAGACCGCAGGTCATTTCCTCATATTCCAAAAAATGGAGGAGAAATTAGCGGTAGCGAATCAATCACCCGGTGCTTTATGACCAGACCTACCGGGATATAAACCGGAGGAGCCAGGCATGGAGGGAGGTGGCAGAGACAGTGGTATGTTTTCGCCTGTTTTGGGGAGTTTATATCCAGTTTACTTCGGGCTTTTTGGCTTCGTATGTCGCGGGCGGGAGATTCATGTGATTGGTTGATCGCAAAAAAATCCCCAAGCCTCAGATACGCCCACCTCCAAGATTTTTTTAACGCTGACTGCCGCTAGCTGAGGCTTGGTTGGTTGCTAGGTTACTAGCTGGGTGTTCTTTGATAAGGGGCCGGGGAAAACAAAGTTAGTGATTACTGGTGCCATGTTGATTTAGTTCAATACAAATTGTTGGGGAGCCAAAGCCTGATTTTTGGATGAACCTTGTTTCGTCTGACAACGTTTATGTTTATGCTGTTTCTTGTAGCTTGGAGGTACCTCTTCAAAATACAGGAGCGTGCCCGGTGATATCCCTTGAGCATTTTCGGATATTGACCCCTTCATGGCCAAAACGCCAAAATCCCAGAAAAATAAGGATTTATGAGATTTCATGCAATAATATTGAAATATATTCAAATCAAATGCATCACATTTGCCTTCCCCAATGTTTACATTCATACAGTGCATTGTATTCTAACTTATTTAATATGAACCCTTTCAAGCTGACCCAGCAAAACATACTTTTGTAGTGCAGTGAATTCTGCAAAGACAATGCAAACAAATTCTCTCTTTTGCTCACGCAACTGCGTGGCGTTTATTACCAACAACAAAAAGGAAAGGCAAGCAGATTGTTGGATAAAACTTTGCTCATTATCATATAGAAATGACACATTACAAATATTGCTGATGATCATCTAGTCTTAGGATCTTGAGCATCCCACCCTGAAACATGCACAGAACATTGTGCATGGCAAACCATGCACTTTACAACTGCAATTATTGGAGTTGCAAGGGGTCTCACTCTTGCAGCCACACCAGAGGCCTGTACTACGAAGCCGGATTTTCGCTTAGCCGGCTGACTTCAGGGAAAACTCGGGCTTTCCGGTCCTACGACGCTGGTTCTCTTTTTAGCGGGCTTGATCTCCATGGTAACTTATGCTGAGCGGCTAACCTCCTCCGGAGCAGGTTAGGTTGCAGGCTAAGAGATCAACTCAGTGAAAGCACCGCCTGCTGACCAATCAGAGCTCCGTGTGCGGAGTTTAAAGCTATCAAGTCATATTACAGGATAGAGGAAATACAGAAAAACTGCCGTTGCAGGAAAGACGGCCGGCAAAAATCAACTGACTGTGTGAACGTGAAAATTAATAGAATATCCCCTCCCATCTTCAGAGCAATCTGACTATTATAATATTAGCATTAAGAAAGCTTACTTAAATATCTGCCACGACATAAGTAACCAGATCAGAGTAACATTAAGTACAGTCCGCGGCACTGTGAGTGCAGACGTCGATGTGTCCCATTATCATTCATATCATATCACATCATAATGTATCATATATTTCCTTATTTGAGTCAGCTTCTTGAGCCGTATCTGGCCGTGCAACACTCACAGTGTCACATACTGTATGCAGAAGTATTATTTTAAGCAACACATTAAGTTGACGAAACACTCGAGTCAAATTCTCCTAATTAAAGTCAGATCCACTCGTGTCTTGGACGGGGCAGTGATATCATAAACCTGTTAATGTACGCATTCAAACACTTTTTCTTTTACCAGCTGTATTCACCTTGCAGGTGCAGCTATGTGGCTTTTATCCTGGATAAAGTGTTTAAGTCATGGATGTTTAAAGTTTAACTTCTTCATATTTGACTAATATTAAAGTTCACTTTTCATTCAGGAAGTATGACACTGCGCTGTCAGTACGCTTGTCCATGTTTGAGATTGGTCGAATGCTCCAAATACCACCCCTTTCATGTGAACGCGCACCTAACTAGATAGGACACCGCTGGCTTGAGCGATCCACTTGATAACCAGCGTCGTAGTACAGTTTAGCGAGAGCGCGTATGTTTTGGATTGGGCCAACCGGCTAACTCAAACATATCCGGGTTAGGTTGAACCAGCTTCGTAGTACAGGCCTCTGATCATCTCCCAAATGTAATCTGGGACAAGTTTGGCATCTTCTGGTAGATGGGCTGGGATCAGTGACCTGTTACACGTATCTTTTTTACATCCAAATTCCTCTGGGTTCAGTGGTGGCAGGAGGTTTACATTGAGATTTTGCCACAACATTGCCTGAAAGTGGGCCCTCTTAATATTCTCAATGAAGGCTTCATTTGTTGTTGGTAGAGCAGCAAGGTTTAGAGCAGACATATGTCCTTTCGCCCCAGACAAGTAGCCTTGTGTGTGACATGTCTGTGTTCTCCTTTATGCCATAACAGGCTGAGATGAAGGCAGTGGCTGGGTCGAGGACTTGCTGGAATGGTGCATCCATGTTGCCAATGGCTGATAGTTGGTACCCAGCTTTCAGGACTTTGATGACAGAGCCTTTTCCCAACCCATAGTAAGACGCTACAGTGTCACATCCCAATATGGCATGGGCTGGTAAAAGGTTCTCGACAATTTCTGAATGCTTGGACAGTGTCGCCTTGATGTCCACTATTGCTCTTTCCTTGCGGGGGGATTCCATGATGAGTAGTACATCCAGTCCTGCCTGATGGTAATGGTGAAGGAGTAGGACGAACACATCTGTGTCATCAGAAACCACAGAGATTTGATGGGCTTCTCCAGCACACGCCAGGACTTGTTGGACAATGATGGTGTCAGCTTCTTCCTGCTGATTTTCTAGCTCATATCGGCTCCTTCTTTCTTCCATCCTGATCTCGATGGGGCGTGAGTCCTCCCCTGTCACCACCAACTTGTGTTTGTTTGTGCCCCGTAGATGGAAAAGCCTGTCTTCGGTCAGTTCCTTAAATAGTAATTGGTTGAGCTGTTTCTTGTTTTCAATGGATGACAAGACAACCTTCTGGGCTGGTAGCTTAGTTGATAGGAGGAGATGATGTTTCCTATTGACCACTGTCTCCCTGACATCTCTGGTGACAGACTTGATACTGTAATCATAGTATCTGTCAAAGATGAGGTAGACATCACTCTCTGACAGGTATGAAATCAGCCGTGTTTTAACATTATCAATAAAATCAGCGACAGTACCATCAGCTGGTCAGTGTATGGTCCAAAGAAGTGCTGATCCATCAATGACAGTGACATCTGCATCACCGGCATTCCTCCTGGAGACTTCCACCTGGAGTGACTTCTTCAGTGTGGACTTGGCTTTACAAGTTCGCATTCCGTCCTCTGTGAACATGGCAGTTGGGACTGGTGCCAGCTCATAGGCAAGGACATCCTTCACGTCAACATCGCGGTCTCTAGAGAACAGTGCTCGAATAGATCACATTTAGGTCATACATTTTGGAGTTGCCAATTTTGATGGATTTGGTTGTTGTTGCCATGGTCTTCACTTTGCTTGAGATGGTGTTGTAAAATCCCTCTGGCCAGGTCTTTTCAAATTGTTCTAACATTGCCTCTCCAATATTTACAGCACTGTCTACACTGGCAGTTGGAGGGGCTATCTTGCCAAATACAATCTGGAGGCAGAATACGTATGACAACAAAATCTTGCAATTATGGTTTAATTACATAATCACAGGGTATATTACACTTTAGATGAAATGGTTACAGCATGTGTTAGACGTGACATGAAAAGCATATATAAAAAAAATAAAGAAATCCATTGTTCTGGATCTCAAAAGCTCAATGGGTGTAGGAAGGTTCATCCAGCGACCTGTTTTGCTGGCTTGGCATAAAAGGGTTAATATTCATTAATTTGGAACACATGACCTCCTTTATGAATAAACATTGTAGAAAGCAACATCTGGTGCATTTCATTTGAGAATTTTACATGAAATCTCATAAATCCTTATTTTTCAGGGATTTGGGAATTTTGGGCATAAAGGGGTTAATACCCGAAAATGCTCAAGGGATATCACCGGGCACCCTCTTGGATTTTGAAGAGGTACAAGAAACAGCAGAGAAAAAAACTTTATCAGATGAAACAAGGTTCAACCCCACGGCTCCCGGAATATTAATTAGCATGTTGTATTTTCCTCTATTTTGTGTATGACTTAAGAAGCAGGTAAAAACTAAAAACAAGGTTTAAAAAAAAAAAAAAGAGGGAGAAACCAGATTTTTTTTATTGATATTATTTTGGATATTCCTAATTTTACAACTTTTGAGCCCACAGGAGAGAAGATCAGATTTCGTTTTCTCTCACCCGTCTCTTCCGTAAGGGCTTCAGTAATTCTACAAATACTTGCTTTAATACAATTGTGTGTTTACATAGATTTTGAATAACCTGCTGACCTTTATGTACCAATTGACATCTAATCCAATGGTCTCTCAAGGGCACCAAGCCGTGGGTGTCACAGTATGTAGGGCACATAAGGCTTCGCAGGATGAACTGGCCCCCGTATCCATTTACTAGCTAAGTTACAGGGTTCACATTCCTGTCATTGAGAGAGCCACGCTACAGCAGACATACATTTGCTCAATATTTAGGGGCCACCTGTCTGTGTGAGGCAAACAAGTCCACGTCAATATCAAAAAAGGAGTTGCCAAGGGGTATAAAAGGTATGTTGATTTTAAAATAATGTGTTTTCAAACTCATGGTTGTGATCGACATCGAGAGTGTAACAAGCATATTTATAATTAACACGTATATCATTTCACCACACATGCAACATCCTAGATCTATAACCGCATACTGCTAACGAGTAGAAGACTGGCAGCACACCTTGAGTGGCGGGGGCCTCCAGACCCCCCCAGCGCTGGCTGTGCCTCTTCTTCAGGCTGATGTCCAGTCGGGACGGGGTGAAGGAGTAGCTGCACTGCTCGGGCTGGATCAGGTTCCTGAGGCACGGGGGGGGGGGGCAAATGTTGACAGGTCAGATTAAAAGTGGCATGAGGCTACAGTCAAACCCATTTGTTAGATCGGTTTTATCCACTGCAGTCTGAGGTTTATATTATTAACCTTTATATAATGAATTAAATACATCAAAAACATTTAGGATAGTATATCAACTAGCTTGTTTATTTATTTTGACTGGGAATAGACTTTTTTGTGATTTGATATTGGAAAAGCCTCAAGGTACTTCAGTACTAAGATGCAGGGCGAGTAATTATATATGGTCTCTACAATTGCAATTGGGCTGAGTATTTCAGGCAATAAAAAGGAATACATTGGGACCACCTAAAATATGATCCCAGTTTAAGTCAGTTTATGCCATCCTATCTATATCATGTGTTTGACCTGATGCAGCACTTGTGCATTGCCACTGTTTGATGAAGATTCTAACAAAGTTTCCCAGAAAAAAAACAGTTTTCCACCATTTTTCTTGATTCAGTTCTTTGACATTGACATTGCTGTCCTCTTGAGACAACAGAGCACCTTTTCAGTAAAGCGAGGCACAAGAGTTTATTTTTAACAACAAATGTGACTGACTACATTGAGTGCAACACTGACCTGAGTTTGACTTGCCACTTGAACACTGTGTTTGGTCCACAGTCTGGATGTAGCTTCAGAAAGTTAGTATCACTGTGAAAGGAAGAAACAGAAAGATCATTCTCTGGTTGAATACATTAAAGACATCCTTTAACTATTGTTTGTGTTTAGCTGTTCCCATTGGCTACCTTGTCTGGAAGATGAGGGTGAAGTCCTGTTCCCTGAAGATGACCCTGGCCGTGTCCCTGCAGATCCCCTTCGTGTAAACATTCACCACCATCAGGTCGGTGCCCTTCTCGTACGAGTCATACTTCAAAATCTGCAGGTTGACCATGGGCTCTGGGACTGCAGGGAAATATTGAAGGTAGAAACAAACTCATATTTACCTGCTCAATAAGTCAATGCTCACAATCTGAAGAGCAAAACAACCTTGGATGTGTACAAACAGTACTTTGTTATTGCTTGATCTACCTGCATATGTTGTATACACACACAGGGTTTGTCACAATGCAGGGATATGCAGCAACCAATATTGTAATTTCCTTAAAAAAAGGTAATACAATTTGACATTTAACTTTAATAAAACCCAATAATGTAATAACTTCATCAATGATGTACACAGGAAGGACTTTTTTTTTAACTAATTAAAGTGGACCTATCATGCTATATTTGAATAATATAGTGTAGGACCATACCTATATAAGGCATATTTATACTTTTTTCTTTTCAAAATACCAAACAGATCATGCATTTTAGCCATGCCTCATTTCGCTCAATTTAAAAAATGTTAGCTCTGTTTTTGCAAGGGTTGATTCTGTGAGCAACAGCACCATCTAGAGGCCTGGCATATGTACTACAGCATCTCCAGCGCTTTCGAACGGCAATGCCGTGGTTGTCTCCTCCTGATTGGTGGAGTTGGCCCAATAGCCGTAGCGCCACTGTCCTGACGTCAGTAAAGTGTTCAAATCTGGATCAGTTTTTATCAGATCCGTTGCAGCCCCTTTTTTAGAGATTTGGGTATGGAGGAAAATAGAGAGGGTTGTGTTTTCTGACACTTGGTGAGTTCCCTGGAACACCGGGGACACATATTCATGTATAAAAGACGTACAAAAGTGCATTTTGCATGATAGGTCCCCTTTAAGTTATATTTTTGATGGATAATGTAATAATCAAACTATGTGCAGGTGTCAAAACCTGCAGTTTCCTGTGGCTTAAAGGGAGTCATCTATATAGGCTGTGGCTTCTCTGCAACACCACAATACTTCATTCAGATATTTTCACATATTTTGCCTTTACTGAGATTTCGATATTGCACACGTCCATATTGCAATTTGGATAACATTAAAATGTTAACCGTGCGGCCTTAGCACAAAGATTTGCAAATCGCTCTAAATAATGCATTCTTGATTCTCAAAACCTCCTTAACTGACCTTCCTGTTGTTTTATTTCCAGAGGGGGCTCCTCCTTGGACTGGTCTTGCTTCTCCTCTCCGTCACAGCTGCCCTGCCTCTGGGCTACAGCAGGTGACTGGCTCTGTTTGGCTGCCATGCCAACAGCTGGTATCGAACCCGCTTCCTTTGATTCAAGCTGCTGCTGCTGCTGGCGAATCAGAGTATCCTGCTCTGATTCCTGCTCAACAGGCTTTTTCTGTAGTTCAGAGTCAGTTCTATCTCCCTGCATTTCAGGAGAGGCTGAGTTCACTTCCTTGTTGAAGCCGACAGGTAGCTGGTTATCTGTTTGGAGGCCGTTAACGGTGCTGACGGGAGCTGCTGGTTGGTCGTCACTGCTGTGTGCTGCTGTTCCAGATCTTTCTGAAGAATGGTTACGCTTTTCTGCCACCTGAATAAGAAAAGACACAAGGAATTATACTACAATTCCACCAGGGAATGACTTCAATATCTAGGAGAAGCAAGAAATCTAAACCACACTATTTATTTTATCTAACAACGACAGTTAACAAGGAGAAAAGCTAACAACTTGATTCCAATTCAGATCAAGTTCATGTACAATATACTGTAAGTTTATTCTTCTGCAAGAGCTGAAGCATCTGCAAAGTTGACTTTTGAACACTAGATGCTGTGAAGACACGTCACTACGCGACAAACAGACAGTTTGCTTCACTCCTCTTTATCAGGCAAGCTGTTGTGGGAACAGACTGTGAGTAACATCAAGTTTATTTGCAGACGCAGTAATAAGATAGGGTGTTTGTTTTTTGTATTAAAGTTTATAAAAATGAAGCTCTTCCAAGCTTAAGAGGCAGAGCTGTTATATTATTATAGGCCGTTATATTATTAGATCTATAAATGTTACTCTAATCCTGTAGTATGGTCTATGTATCTTGGTAGGCTGTTGGCAGCCAGAGGCGGGGCTTGAGTTGTTTACCTCTGTAGGTCATATGAGGCCTCTACTATGAAGCAGGCTTAGGCTTTGAGTTTACAGTCATACGTAGGGTTGGGTTCCAAAATTGAGAATCCATCGGTATCGTTTAGAAATGTAAAATTCGGTTCTGCTTATCGATTCCTAAAGAAATGCATCTCGCCGCTTTCTCTACTGTTAGACGGGGGCTGGGCGGGAAATGTAGCGAGCACAGTGCTGGTTGGGAAGCAAAACTTGATAAGAACAAATAACAATTGTCCAGTCCAGTACCAGGATTAATGAGAGTTGTGAGGACATGAGGCTCCAGAGACTGGGGGAATTGTAAATTCTCAAATTGCACCACTTACAACTAACTTGTGATTGCAAAAAACAATGCAAATATGATATTTATATAATGTTATTCAATAACAGCAACCAAATTAAACAATATGAATACAGATTTGACTAAATGTTTTCATCAATGTATTTTTCTTCCAGTGAAATTGGTGATGGGACTTATTTTTACCCTCTTAACGAACCGAAAAGCAGATCTGGAATCAGAACCGGAATTAGGCCTGCCATGATAATTAATTTTGTTGGACGATACATTTTCCTGGAAATTGTTGCGATAAACGATAATATTGTCGGCACTGTTGTAAGACCATTATTAGACCACTGACATAATGATAATATATAATAATAATTCAAGTACATCCTTTCAAACAGAACTTTTTATTGAACATTCAACATTGCAAATGAAATATGAAATAATATTCAAATATATAAAACAAATTAATTAAATCATAATAAATTAATTAAAGGTGGGGTAGGTAAGTTTGAGAAACCGGCTCGAGATACACTTTTTGTTATATTTCATGGAATGCTCTTAACATCCCGATAGCAATGAATACAAATGGACAAAAAATCCATGAAAAAATGTCATCTGTGGAAGCCGTAGTACTGTAAAAAGCACGACCAATCATTTTAGCCGGCCCGGCTAAAATAACTGGATGGCCTACCTGCCTGTCAGCCTTCCATCTGTGCACAAACTTATCTCGTGCCCTCATTGGTCTTGTGCGCGTTCGTGTGTGTTGGAGGAGGGGCTCTGTAAGGAAGTGGCAGATTTTTTCCAGCTGTGTATTTTCAAATTCTAGCGCACTCGAGCTGGTTTCTCCAAAATTACCTACCCCACCTTTAAATCATACACAACCAAAACAATAAATTAAATAGACTCAGGCTGGAAAACAGAGCTCGATCTATCTATCTATCTATATTTATATTTATATATATATATATACACACACGATACGCCAACGGAGCCCCGCGCCCCCGTGTTTAAAAAAAAAGAAGAAATTATAATCTTTTTTTTGTTTTATAATTTTTTTTTATATAACAAACATATATATATATATATATATTAGGGATGGGAATTTGAAAGCAAATGTATATTCGAATATTCGACCCCCCAAAAATTATTACCGGACTATGACTGGTAAAATATGTTGAATACCGGCAAAACTAAATCTCTCCTGTCAAAATGTCTATGTACTTTGCCGCCACACACGGTTGCCAAGCAGCGCTTATTGTTGTTTAGGCTGGCCACTCATGTGTCGCGAGTGTTGACAGGGGGCGGGGGAGCACGCTCATGAACCGTTAGCGCCGGAACCTCGCAACGGCTGCGGAGCGCATTTGCGCCGCATTTGGGCATAAGATGAGGTTTGAGTCTGCGTGATTTGCGTGTAGGCAGGGGCAGCAGCCATACCATTACCTAGAACTAGCTAGATCTGATGGATTTGGACATAAACGCGAGTGAAGTACCGGACGCGAGAGAGAGAGAGAGATCAGCACCTACAGCTCTGCCCGCTGTGAGGGACCGGTGAGCGGAGCAAAACACACCTTTAGACGTCACCTAACACATTTAGCTATGGCTATACATTGAATTATTCAATTTGATAATATGTAATCAACTTAGGCATCCCTCCCAAAAAAATAAAAAATAAAAAGATTCATAAAAATATTCATAACTCATATTCGAATACCTGAATAATTTTGAATATTCGAATATTCGATTAATCGTTCCCCATCCCTAATATATATAGCACCAAATTGCAACTAATCTATATCTACTGTCACTTTTCACATTGAACATGTGCTCTTTTATTAAATAAACTAAACGCTTTCATTTTAAGTTGTGAGTTTAGTGTGTTTGACCCTAAGGCGCCGTTTACACGAGGAGAAAACTGCTTGTATCTGCATAGTTTCGCGTGCGTATAGCCCTATTATTTACACGAGGCCGATAGAAACTGACCCCACAAACAATAACGGGTCCCAAGGTGGATAGATTTGCAAACGAAACGCTCTGGGGGGTCAACCGAGTCCGTGTAATCACCTCTATACGAATATTTCCTGAAAAAAATAGCGATAGCCCCACCTCTCCCCCACCTCTCCTGCTCACTGCTGTAGCAACTATCAAAAATAGCTGTGTTAATTAAACGCACAAGGGGTTCTTGAATGAAATAATATTATAAAAGGCAAACCAGAATTGTTAACGCCCAATATACTCCTTAAACAAAATAAACAGAGTCAGATTTCATGCATTGACCCATTATATTGACAAAGGATAATGGAGGATCTTTAAGTTTTTATTTTATTTATTTTGTATCCGTCCGCGACCACATCTGCGATCAATTAACTTGTGGACAATGATCCCTCGCTCTACGCCTCCTGTACCCAGGCCCGGACTGGCCATCGGGAGGACCGGGGGGTTTCCCGGTGGCCTGGCCTGTTAAGTGGCCTGCTGGCCTGAGGATTTTTTGATTTTTGTTGATTGGTCTCTGTGTGTCATTCAAGCTCGGGATAACCTCAGCTCAGGTGAGGTAAAGGACTCTCTGAGTGTTTAGATAGTTAACTTAGTCTAAGTTCTCAGTGGGTCTCAAACGGTTTGGTCACCATTTATGTAAACACATATTTCCATTTGAGGGGGTAGTGATTAGTAAAATATGCATGAATAAAAAATGTAAAAGTTAACTAGGTGAAAAAAGGTGAAAAAAGGTAAGATACACTTTTAAAACTTGTTGAGAGCTAAAACTAGTCTTTGCTGCTGCCTCAAAGAGGAGCAGGGGAAGAGGAGGGAGACAGGAGAGGCTGGTTCAGGAGCCCAGACACACTCACAACTATAAATGAACCAAAAATAAATAAATAAAACAAGTTTTAGTGTTTTTTCATATTGGAAATGGTATGTTATTGGTTATGGCCATGATGTTATGATTATTGAAATGTATACAGTTCTGTTTCATATAGGTGTTCCCATAGATCTAGTCTCTTAATGTTGCTCTCAAAGTGCACCAGATTGATGCATTTAACTCCAAAATGTTTTAAAAAATCTTACCGGGGGAGCATGCCCCCGGACCCCCCTAGAGGATTTTAGGTCCACCCCCACTTAAAATGACATGGATAGGTTCATAAATACATTTACCATTTTTTTTTTAAATAGTAACCCATGTCCATATGCTTATTTGTGGGTAGTAGGGGTTTCACCAACTAATCGACTAGTCGACTACCTCTACCACTAGTCGGCGCTGTAGGCCCTAGTCATCTAGTCGTGAACAAAATGGAGGCAAACGTGGGAGATGAGGATGCCGACATTGGCGCTGAGGTGCTGCAAAATGCTCCAGCAAAACACGTCCGACATTCAGGGGTCTTAAGCACGCAAATGCCCCGCACCTATGCACTCTACAGTTTCAGTTTTAGCTCCGGCGCTAAAAGTTCACGAGCGTGCTCCACTAGCACCCCCTCTTTGAACAGCTGTTTGGACCTCATTTCAAGAGCAACAAGAAAACACGGGTCAACAGTGGCGCGGATGAGCTACGGGATTACTGCCAGCAGACACCCCACATCCCCACAATGGATAACCCTCTGAAGTGGTGGGCACAAAACGTGAACCGCTTCCCCCGTTTAACCAAGCTTTCCAGGAGCTACCTGGCTAGCCACCAGCACCCCAAGTGAACGGATGTTTTCCCTGGCAGGCAACACTGTCACCCGACAGCGGTCAAGCCTCCTTCCCTCACATGTTGATGCTTTGGTCTTCCTTAACGCAAACCAAAAAACCTGGAAGGGTGGACATCGTTATCGAGGAGGACAGTGAGAACGAGTAAAGTGTTGCGCAATGCGCACTGGATTTACGTTGCATTTATGTTCTTAACAGAGTTTTTGCAGTAGATTTGGTGAGTCCAGTTACTGTTTTTTATTTAATCAGCCATGTAACCCATGTAACCCAAATTAAAATGCTGCTTTGTTACAGTGTTTAACGTAACTGTATGCATTGCAATACAAAATACAGTTTTACACCTCTCTTTGTGTGTCTTTATTATGACGTAACAACTAGTCGACTACTATTTTGAAAAACTTGTCGACTAGTAAATATTGGTAGTTGTGAAACCCCTAGTGGGTAGTATATTTAAACTATAGGGCTATCACTATGGGCCCTGCCTGTACCTGTTCGCCCTGCCTGTACCTGTTCGCTCTGCCATCGCGTGAAGGGTCTGCTAACAAGCGACCAACAGAAAGGTTAATGTTAATGTTGTTGCACGTCACAAAGGCACGTCAGACCTAATCCTTAAAATGATAAGGGTTAAATTGGTAAAACAACAAATCTAAATTTTAAATACATTTTGACTTTCTAAATAAAAAAACACAACAACGTTTCTCACCTGAGTTTTGTTAGTATGGCTGCCAGCAGCGACTCCTGCTCTCTGTTCCTCTCCTCCGCCTTTGTTGTCTCCATCTCTGCGTTGTGTCTGTGGGCTCCGACCAGCGGGCAGGTGTGTGTGAGCGTCCCTGTCGGCAGGTGACGTGGCCTCCTTGGTTGCCGCGGGCAGCTGTGTGATGGTGCGCTTGGCACTGGGTTCCTGAGGCTCTCCTTGCGTGACTGCGACAGGCTTGCTGGTGGGGGCTGAGCTATCTCCACCTTTCACCCCTGCAGAGTCTGTAGTGGTTTTGTCACACGCTTGTTTGTTTTTCAGGCCGCGCTTCACCCCCCGCTCTGCCTTGCTGCCACCGCGCCTGGACTCGCTGTGTGCCGGTGTCGAGGGAGGCTGCTGATTTGGCTGCGTGGAGGACACTTTGGGTTTCTCTGATGACTCCGAGGCAACGGGCTTCCCCTCCAGTTCCTTCTCTTTTTTGATCTCAATAGGAACGGTCTCCTTCTCCTTCTTATTTGACTGTGTAAGAATAGGTAGAGGAAAAACATTGTATTTAACCAGCTGCAGACTGAACTGAAGACCCCATTTACAGTAATAACTAATTTTACACAATTTCATAAAACAATAAAATATTATGCAAAGAACGCTTCATGTATAAGGTCACATTTTAGGGAATAAAACACAAATGTACTGCTGGTATTTTATGTGATTTTAGTTTATTTCTTTCTTATTTATAATCAAATAGCTGGATTGAGTTTTGGTCACAATGGGGCTTATTTATTCAATGACATGCTAAGTTCATATATTATATAATTTATATTATGGCATTTTTTTTTTATTCTGACTGAGTTGTTGCTATGTTAAAAATGTTTACACAGAAAGATCATCTTAATATTTAACAATTCAGATATTTCATATTGCTTCCAAAAATCCAGAAATCGTGCTAATATTACAGTGATTTAAAATGTGCACCTAAATAATGACATAGTTAGGAACACCTTTGTATAAGATACGTACTCCATATTGGCCAATACCCAAAGCTTATGTATCGGGACTAAAAACATCAGACGGTTGCTTCCCTGAATCTAAATGATAACCCCCTTAAGTTATAGGACTCACCTTAAGCGAAGGCCAGATGTGGAAGGGAATCTTCTTGTGCATGATGACGTGCAGGAAGCCTCCCTTCTCCTTGTGTTGGACTCTGCTGCATGACGCCTCGATCTCCTCCTGCAGCTGGCAGCTCCACTGCCGTCCATCTGAGCAATTATAACATGCATACAGATGTTTTTTAGAACAGAACTGGAATCAACATAAATGGTAAGTATGCAATCACTTGAGACAGATGCAACTTTGTCCGTTGTCCTTGTGGTTGTATTTAAATTGACTGTTTTTATTGATGCTCCACTGTAGTTTCTGTACAATGAATATGCATTACTAGGACTCACCTGGGAAGTGCACATGGCAGTGAGTATCAGTGAAGGTCGTGTTGATATCCTCTATTCTCTGCACCCCCTCTCCACAGCGCAGTCTGACCGTCACTTCATTGACATTCTGCTTCCAGTCCACAAACACATCTGGAAAAACACAACAGAGTTGACCTTCACATACGGTTTATGTGAAATCAGAGACCACTTCCCCTTTCCACCCTGGTCATTAGAAAACATTCAATTATAGATCAAATAAAAGACAACACAATCAATCTCATCTGGTCAATATGGAATGAAATAGAAGATGATGTGCTTTTTAGTAAGGCTTGTGGTGAACATGCTATAGAGAGGGGCAGTTGTGACAAATCTCTTTAGGCATAACAGATTTGATTAAGTGCTCCCTCAAAAAAAAAAGCAATGGGATTTTTCTTCAGCAGCATAATCTCCACATAAGGCAATAAAGGAACTACATGATGTTCACATGAATTCCCGTCACTACCGCTAAGCTAAAGACGGCTAATGTTCAGCGTGATGGCCTTTAGTAGTCACATTTAGTCACTTCTTTGCAACCACTGTTTTTATGACACATAGAAGCTTCAGACATTCACCAGTGGGGTATTCACTGACATATTTTAAGTCATAGAACAAAATATGTATAACTCTTTTAGGCTCATGATAACCACAGATCTTATTTCAAGCATCTAAAAAAAAAAACGTGTTCAAAGAGACACTGACTTCAAGGCGAGGGAGCCGTAAGTGCTAAATTGCTAACTTGTTTCCGGGTTTTAGGAGTGGTTCCAGAACCAGTGTTGTATCTCTACAACACTGAGAAAATACAGTCACGTTGCACCTGCTCAGATATTCAGGGCATATCGTTACACTATGCCCAAATGGGTCATCCTGGGACATAGCCTGAAACCTGCATTACAGCAAACTCAGCAAGCAAAGCCGCAAACTGTACACCAGGGCTATTCAATTAGTTTGGAATGGGGCCGGTTGATGAAAATGATCCAAAGCAAGGAGCCGGGAAAAAGATGGCTTGAAATATGAGCAATTATATTAAGAGCTTCGGATACAGTAAATACTACAACAGCATAGTGGAGTGCATATATTGTGTTTAATTCAATCAAACAACATAGCCCCAAGGCCTTTATAGATCTAAATGGCAAGTTCAGAACTCAGTAGGCCTACATGTGAATCTAATTTAACCATCAACATCATTTCATTTGATTTAATTTAGGTGAAATGATCTAATCATTCGAGCAGAGATGCAATAAATGACAGGAGTTGTCACTACAGTAGCTAGTAGGTGGGTTCGAAACCCGAGCCCGTCGAAGTTTTCAGGCAATGTCTTCCCCTCTATCTCTCAATGTAACACCCTCTCTGGAATAAAGGCACTCTGGCCCAAAACAAAATCTTTAAAAAAAAAAAAATAGATTACTTTTTAACATTATACTCAAAGGGCCAGTAAATATCACCCCGGGGCCCGCCAATTGAATAGCCCTGCTGTACACCAAGTAAACAACAGCCTTAAGGCAAGTGATTTGTGCATTTCAAGGTAGACTAAAGAGTGATAACTTCAGTCAAAGAGATCACAAAATGAAAAACAAAACAAACACGTACCATTGTTCATAGTGACTTTGGAAGTGATTGAAAATAAAGTATCATCCCAAAAACACAGCGAGTGTTAAGTTTCCCGCCAGCAACGAAGTCATGTACGCACACTAAATGTAGTCTTCCACAGCTAGAGAGCCTCGACTTTCCCACCGTCACTTCTTCACTCTAACTCACCCCTCCTCTCAATCCCTCTAGAAAGGTCACAAGCAACACCCAATCCCTGCAGCTGGTGACAGTTGCATTTCCAGTGGAGCCACGCCCACAGTGTTCTCTCATAACTGGGTAACACACTACACCGACATCAGGGCTTTCCACAGGATTTTGTGACACTATGGTGGGAGGACCTCAGACCCTTAATGGAGGACTAGGAGCATTTTTTCCTGTAAGAAAATGTGACGCATTTTGAAGTTATATGCATGCGTGTGCTTTTTGAACACAAAATAAGGAGGTTCGATCTAGGGATGGGTACCAAAATCCGGTATTAAACCTTTTTTTAAAGACTGTGGTATCGATAAGCTCCAACGTTAAAAAGTGTAAAAGTAGAACATAGCAGAGTGTAGGAATACTCTGTTACAAGTAAAGGTCCTGCAATCAAAATGTTACTCAAGTAAAAGTACATAAGTATAAGCATCAAAATATACTTAAAGTACCCATTTCAGAATAATAAATATGATATGTTTTATAATGATTGATCATTAAAGTGTTCTCAAAGCTGGTAAAGGTGCAGCTAGTTTGAATGCCTTTGTATACTGCAGGGTAGCTTGTGAATTTACTCCAGGTGGAACTAACTTCTCCCATATTTACTTCTGAATTGAAGTAGAGTTGAAGTACAAAGTAGCAAAACATTTAGTAATTAAGTAAAGTACAAGTCTCTCAATATTGTACTTGATACTTGACTACATAAGGAAGATTTAGTCTAGAATTATATTATTCATCATTTCTGGTGATATTCAGCAAGGCTACATGGAGAATCCAGCATGATACATTATCTGGCAAATGATATATATTGATCCAATATCAAGAGGTGAGCTCTTTCTGGTTATTTAGGAAGTGATGTATCAGTATAGGCCTTGCCCTTAACACACGCTTTATTATTTTACCTCTGTTCTTATCATAATACTAAACACGACATTTAAATACTTTTCCACTTGCTGGGTTGGTCTTCGCTTTCATTTTGAGTACTTACTTTTCCCCCCAATTTGGGATCAATAGAATATATCTAATCTTGTTTATATGATGCTGTGACAACCAAGAAAATATTAAATTGGGATCAATAAAGTATTTATAATCTTATCTAAAAAACATTTGTGGTTTTCAGTAGTGGCAGATACCCAACATTTAATAAGGCAGTTCTGTGGCGACATAATGAAAGTGAAACGGCTTTGCATTGTGAGAGGGACTTGTGTCTTCACTGAGTTTAGACTTGTAGGTCAAGGGCTTCAATGTGGTATTTGTTGAATCAGCATTTCTACCTCAAGGGATGAACCAGTGTCAGGTATATCCATCACATTATGCTAAGATTCACCGATTCGCATCGGTGCACCGGCATAAACGTTCAAAATGCGAGTGCACCGGTTGAAAGAGTGCACATCGGCTACAGTTTGGGTTGAACTCGCGATGCATCGATTGTAGCGTCTTCGCATCGGTAAAAAAATGATTAATTCATATAATATCCCCTCATCTTGTCAGCACTCAGCAGAGACGATCTTTGATCTTTGCTTCGCTAAGGAGGCCGAGAGTCTCAGTTATCAACTAACATGGATGTCGAGGAGAAAGAGAAACACAGCGCACCGAAAAATACCTACAAATCAAACGTTTGGCAACTCTTCAGATTTTTCAAGAAAGACGGACAACTTGAAAAATCGCTCGCAAATTGTAAATGATGCCGTGCAGCTTTAAAGTACACAAGTAGTTTGAGGAAAAGAAAAACCTGAAAGTTCAATCACTTAGTGAGGTGTTCTGTCAGTGAGTGGTGTTAATTTACAGCAGTCTGTGACTGCCAATAATAGTTTAAATGTCTTCTTTACAATTGTAAGCAGTTATGAGATACCTGTTTGTGAGAGGTTATTTGTATTCTTTATTGTTCCTATAGAAACCACTGCTTTCTGCTCACTGGTGAGTTAGCCTATGGATGAGTGTTAAGCACATCAGGCTGGCAGTTGTATGGGCATTGCACTATGGTAGTTGTTATTTGCACTTTGTTAATCCTGGGCAATGCATCCTTAAATTGTTTAACTGAGGTGTTATAAAATTGTACTCTACTCTGGAGACAGAGAACACTACTCCACTTGTGAAAAGGCCTGTTTGTGAAAGGTCCAAGTGTTTTATTTTTTTATAGCATAATGGGATGCGCAGTACTAGTAGAGTGAACCAAATATATAAAGCACTTTTTTGTTAATTTATGATTTGCTGCATATAAGGAATAAAACAAAATCCTCTGTCGTACCATATTGAATTGTATCATTATTTTGCATCGTGTTGAATCGCATCGTATCGCACAATGTTGAATCAAATCGTATCGAACTGTATCGCAACAGGGGTGAATCGTATCGTATTGCATCGTATTGCATCGCCTGGTGTTTCAAATGTATCGTTAATGTATCGTATCGTTGGCAACGTATCGAGATGCGCATCGCATCGGCCTCAGTGATGGAGATGCACATCCCTAGTGTACTGCAATGACTCCTCTCGGGAACTAACAAAAGGACGAGGAAGTACGGTAGTGTTCCATTTGTCACAAAAATGTAAGAGTAAATACAAAGATAGATACCTGAAACTAAAAATCTTATTATAACAGTATTGTACAAGGATGATGCACAATGGTTCAGGCAAGAAAACCTACAGTTACCCTTCTTTTCATAAAAGTATTTATTTAAAAGTATCTTTAAAAGCACAAAGCAGGGTTAACTGTTTACTACCACTATTAACAAATGTTAGACCCAAGAAACATTGACTTGTTTCTAAACAAACAACAAAATCCTCCTTTGAATTGCAACTCTCCTCGTATAAAATACAGCCAAGAGCTTTTCATTGAAGGGCATGAAACCATATCAAAGAAAATCCACACATGTATGTATCTCTTTTTTTTTTTTTAAATGAGAAACAAACACGCATACACCCACACACAGCACAAAATATGGAAAGTACAATATGTACGAAGTGGTGCGTTCATACAAAAAGCACCAGGCAGCAGCATGATGTGCAACTATGGGATGAAATGAACAGCAAAAAAGGGCTACACAGCAAATACATAAGAAGCTGCATGTTGTCTTTTTATTACAGAACAACAAACACATATGACTATACTGAAGACTCATTTGGTGTGTTCATAGCACAGCATCTTCTTAGTCATTGAAATAAAATCATCTAAAAGATCTAAATATGAAGAAATTGCTTTGCCGATTAAACAATTCATATTAAAAACATTTGTCAGATTTATGGTCAGCTCTTTTCAAAATTGATACACCCTCATCTGTAAAACTGTATTTTTCTATTGTCAAGTTTAAATAAAAGGGGTGCAGCTACTAAATGTAACTATTGGTTATTATTTTTTATTAACCATTCAAGTATTGAATCAAAACATAGCTTGTTTTGTGCTGTGGACAAACACTCTAAATGCCCTCGATATTCAGTTTAGAATCAGTACAACAAAGTGAAATCTTACCAGTGGTGAGAATAAATCTTGAGTAAGTATAACAAACTCCAAACAACACTACACTATGCCGCTTTATAAAAAATGTGCCCTTGATAGTTAAAGTCATGTTTGCATCCGGGATGTCTCACCAAAACTCATTGTATGTATCTCGCTAATATGTTAAACCTGTTGCCTTCCTAAAACATTTGGAAAGCTGTTTTTTTTTTAATATATATAATTGACATCAATATTTGCCAGCTTACCGCTATTTTCTCCCCTGCTTTTTGTTGATCAGTGGAATAAGATGACACTGAGGCAGGATGTCAACGGCATTGCAATCGTGCTATTGCACGTTACAAAGTATAACTGTGACCCACTTGTTAAAACATTCCTCCAAAGCTACTAGTGCTTAACCTGTGAGGATTTGGAGCACTTTTTGAATACAGAAAAATCAATTAAAAAAAACGTATTTAGGACTAGAAATGCATTCAATATGTTAGTTAGATATGTACAATTATTTTTGGTAAAAACCGGTCATTGTCAAAATCACAGCTTAACAGACTTTAAAAAAGGAATAAGCTGTTATTCCATTGATTTTTTTTTTAAATACGGCATAACCGGAGAAAATAAATCAACAAATACAAATCAATAACAAATGCGATTACTCGCAGAACACATTCAGTCCTTCTTACCTTTCTTGACCTCTGCAATGACCCCGTCCACTGCTGCAGCGGCTGCCCTCTTGGCCTCTCTGCTCTCCTGGTTGGCCCGGTCCTTCTGCTTCTTCTTACTGGTACTGGAGGACAGGTCAGAGCTGTTCTCCCTGACACCACCCCCCCTCTGCTGAGCCCCACCGCGACGGCCCACTGTCTCGGAACCAGCCACACCGCTACCACCGCTGCTGGCCATCTTCGGGCACTTGGCACTAACGGGTCGACCGTCTCCGGATTCACTACCGCTGCTGGGGTCTGGATCTGAGGTGTTCCTCTTCTTGCCTGGCCCGGCTATCTTGGCGATGATACTGGTCTGAACTCTCCCAGAACAGAATCAGGAAGTAAGGGATATGGACCTAAGGCAGAGGGAAAGAGACATTGAATGGTCAAATGGAGACAATAATAAAAACGTCTGACATCAATATGTGTAAGGTTAACAACTCGTGACAAACTGCATTTACTTTGTTTGTATAATCACACAGACAAAAACAAAAACATACACACAGAAGAAAGTGGTTCACTGATAATAGCTGATTAGGATCACATGTAATATAATTGCAACAATGCTGACCGACACATGCTCATTATGTATTACAAGGGGAAGCTTATGGCAGTACGTAAACCCAACTATCGTAGAGTCTTGCCTTGTTTCCTTAGCATAGCAACAGCAAGCTGCTAGCTTAAACAGTCTAATGACAAACAAAGGACAACAGCCTCATCAGCCATTTTATTCGGTGTTCAGTACAGTTAATTTACTAAAAGCATTGGTGATGTTCATTAAGCTAGCTAGCAGGTTAACAATGCAGCATCCCATCCTTAGAGTTGTTGCATGGTAACTGGTACGTTAGCCAACAGACTGCAGAGGTTCGTTTATTTTAAGGCACACGTGTTTTGGACTGTCATGTGCCTGTCGGTATAAGACATAACATTAACCTGCACAACGTTATTTTTCCTAAGATTATGTTTTTTAAATCCCTTTGTTAACATTTAGTAAACAATCTTTAGTCAGCAAAATGTTACCGTTACTTGAATGTAGCCGTTTACTGAGCAGTGTGGGACAATACAACTGTTGGATTGCACATTGGGGTTAAGATTTAAACTGCATCCAATGCAGCGGTCTTGTCTGTACCAACAAAACAACAGATATCGTTAGTATTTCTTACGCGTGTTTAACTGTGTGATAACAAAGGTTATACATCTCTAGTATTCCAACCGAGCGCAGGATATGTCATACAATCAAACGCTCCCACAATCTTCGAGAAGCTAATGTCATTAGCCCCATCAAGCTAACGATAGCTGACACCAAAGGGTTGATATGCCTACCTATTTTACACAACCAACAAGATGACATCCAATGAAACCTGACGCCCGACTGTGTTTGAATGCCATAATATTATTGACGTTAAAATGCAAGACTTGCGGGGCTTCAGTTGGGGAATAATTGAATTCCGTAGCTTACACAATGGCCGGCGACTCCTTGTGCTTCTCCCGGCTGCTAAGCTCCTTCTCGGCCCCGGGCCGCTGCCCGCACTCCAAACACCGCAGTCCACGGTGTTTCTGGAATATTCCTTCGTTTATCCGGGACCCATAGCTGGTATCTTGAAACGATTTATTTAGACATTTAAACAAAAACGACAATAAAAAAAAATGTTCAGTCTATTGTTATCATTCGGCCTCTGCGGGCTCCGTCCTACTTTGTTTGGAACAAATTACACTGCCGCCCGGCCAAACGCGAAACGTGTGCGCGCATAGGCCACTTCCTGGCTGGCGCGTTCACGTGATATGTACTTCTTACATCTCTCTCTCTCTCTCTCTCTCTCTCTCTCTCTCTCTCTCTCTCTCTCTCTCTCTCTCTCTTAGCATGACCATAGTTACATAAAGTATAAAGTTACATAAAGTATTGCCAACGCTCTGTATAGTTTCTATAAACTACTATAGTTTCTCTATAGTTTCATCTATACAAAAATACACACAAATAAACAGCTATAAACAAACTGCTAAGAACATGTTTTGTTTTTTGTTTTTTTGTTTATACAAGGAATACAGATTAATTTCATTCATATAATACATTAATACAAAATAGAATATGATATATATACATAAGATATATAAGATGTGAGACCTGCATGGTGTATCTGCTCATTCTGGTTCCCTCAAACTGTGGCAGGCAGAGACAAACTGTCCTGCAACAATGCAGCTCTCTTTATATTCCCCCGAGAAGTATTTTTAGTTTTTCATTTTCATTTTAAAATATTTGAGGATGCTTATGATTTAGTTTTGGGAAGAATTGTTTCCGTATAGGTTCAAAAGTTGGGCATTGTGTGAGGAAGTGCTGCTCTGTCTCCACAGCAGTTCCTCCACACTGTTGGCATGATCGCTCCTCTTTTGGCAGCCATGTTTTCTTGTACCTGCCTGTTTCTATGGCCAGGCTGTGAGCACTCAGTCTGTACTTTGTCAACATCTTCCTGTGTTTAACATCAGTCACTGTGGTCAGGTAGGCTGCCACAGTGTACTGTCTTTTTAGGGCCAGATAGCATTGCATTTTACTTTGTGTTTGGGATTTAGTGTTCCAATAAGTGAGGTAGTTTTTTGTGTGTTTTGTTATAATTTTGTTGACTCTAATAGTTGTGGGCTCAGACTGGTCCTGAGGCAGAACACAGTTTGAGCCGGTTTGTGAACAGAGTGTCAGGACCAGCTGAGAGAGGGGACTCTTTTCCTTCTTCATCTCTTGATGCTGCAGGGCTTTGTGGTGGTAGGAGTGGGGGTCACTTTCTTTTAGATGTAGCCAATATTTAATTGATAGTTTCTGGATTTTTATTAATAATGGAAATGTGCCTAATTCCGCTCTGCAGGCGTTGTTAGTTGTTCTCCTGTGAACCTGTAGGATGCGTTTGCAGAACTCATTGTGAGCATTTTCTATTGGATGATTTTCCCATTTGTCAAATGTTTGGTTTGTTTGTGGGCCCCACACTTCGCTTCCATAGAGTAGGATGGGTTGTATTACTGATTGAAGTAATTTAAGCCAAATTAAAATTGGAATTTGAATGTGAATTTGTCTTTTTATTGCATAAAACGCCCTGCATGCTTTCTCTCTCAGTTCATTGACAGCTTGATTAAAACTTCCAGTGGAACTTATTTTCAGGCCTAAATAATTATATTCTGAGCAATTTTCTATTGTATGTGTCCCAATTGTAAAGTCAATATTGTTTGCCTGACACACAGCAGGAATTTGATCTCTGTTCTGTGAAGTGTGAGGCAGGTGCCTCTGTTCTAAGATAGTGGCCAGTTCGTTAAAAAAAAAGTATTAGCATTAAAATATAGTTAAAGTATCAAAAGTAAAAGTAGTCATTGTGCAGATTGGTCCATTTCAGAATAATATATATGATATGTTTTTATAATTATTGATAGCGTTATCAAAGCTAGTAAAGGTGCAGCTAGTTTTAATGACTTTGTGTACTGCAGGGTAGCTTGTGAATTTACTCCAGGTGGAACTAAAGTCGTAGTGGAGTAGCATAAAATGGAAATACTTAAAGGGGACCTATCATGCAAAATGCACTTTTGTACGTCTTTTATACATGAATATGTGTCCCCGGTGTTTCAGGGAACTCACCAAGTGTCAGAAAACACAACCCTCTCTATTTTCCTCCATACCCAAATCTCTAAAAAAGGGGCTGCAACGGATCTGATAAAAATTGATCCAGATTTGAACACTGTCCTGACGTCAGGACAGTGGCGCTACGGCTATTGGGCCAACTCCACCAATCAGGAGGAGACAGCCACGGCCATTGCCGTTCGAAAGCGCTGGAGACGCTGTAGTACATATGCCAGGCCTGTAAGTGGCGCTGTAGTCTGCCACAAAAGCAGTGAAGAAGACTTGGTTACCATGGTTACCCATGTAACTGTTTATTCTCCGCTGTGGCTTTCTTTCTCCCTCCCCGAGGCAAGCGTTTGCTCCCGCTGCAATGCAATCCCTCCCCGTCGAGGCAAGCACTGTAATTCTCTCCGGTTAGTCCACCAGCAGATGACAAACACCCACCTCTCCGCCTCTTCCAAGGAACGAGGGGACCGTGCGGCAGAGTTTCAGTTTCAGTTTGTTTCCGCCGGTCAACATGTCCGTTAAAGTTGAAATCTTCTGGACAAAATTAGAAAAGTGCCGGTCAAAGGTCTTCTTTGTTATTTATTGAGCTTTAAAACAAATGAATAACGACTCTATATAATAAAACACTGAGGACGGAGATCTCTTTTTCTCCCCCTCTTCTGACAGCCCAGCAGCTGATCAGAGCACGTCTCCCCTCTCCTGCAGGGGGGCGTGGTCAGCAGAATCAGACCCGTAGACAGCAAACAGCACATTTTTCTCCCCCTCTTGACTTGACTTGCTCCCCTCTCCTGCAGGGGGGCGTGGTCAGCTGCAGCTCACAGAATCAGCCCCGTAGACAGCAAACAGCACATAGAGCGAAATGAGGCATGGCTAAAATGCATGATCTGTTTGGTATTTTGAAAACAGAAACGTATAAATATACCTTATATAGGTATGGCCCTACAATATATAATTTAAATATAGCATGATAGGTTTCCTTTAAGTAAAGTACAAGTACCTCAAAATTGTAGTACACTTGAGTAAATGTACTTTGTTACTTTACACGACTGGTGAAATGAAAATTGAGATCATGATTATTTATCAAGGCTATTGTGAGTGACAAAGGATTGTATTGCACTTACATTAAAATAAAGAGTGCAACATTTACGTCCATGTTTTGCTGCTGTCCTGCTTTGTACTCATTAGGGCTGCAACATATTAAAAAACGGACAATGCCATAATTCCTTTTCTAAAATAGCTTCCGCTTCAGGTTCCTCGGTGTCCACATCACTGAGGACCTGACATGGACTCATCACACAAACACCATCACCAAAACAGCTCGACAGCGGCTCTTCTTCCTCCGCAGGCTGTCCTATATAACTATGTTGCATTGTTGGAGGAGCTCGGGACTTTATATTTCTATAACAACGCTGTACTGTGCATATGACATTAAAGCCTTTGAATCTTGGTGTTGCAATATGTAAATTCACAGGACGAAGCCTATTACGGATAAATAGGCTCTCACAATCACAGCAAGGCAAGGCAAGGCAAGGCAAGGCAAGGCAAGGCAAGGCAAGGCAAGGCAAGGCAAGGCAAGGCAAGGCAAGGCAAGGCAAGGCAAGGCAAGGCAAGGCAAGGCAAGGCAAGGCAAGGCAAGGCAAGGCAAGGCAAGGCAAGGCAAGGCAAGGCAAGGCAAGGCAAGGCAAGGCAAGGCAAGGCAAGGCAAGGCAAGGCAAGGCAAGGCAAGGCAAGGCAAGGCAAGGCAAGGCAAGGCAAGGCAAGGCAAGTTTATTTATATAGCACCTTTCAACACAAGGCAATTCAAAGTGCTTTACAAAAATGGAAGACATTAAGAAAATGGCATTTAAAATCAGTCATTAAAAAGAAAAGATAATAAAATAAACATTAAAAGAAAAAATACATGGATAAAAGTTACAGTGCAGTTTAAGATGTGAATAGTTCAATTAAAAGCAGCGGCAAAAAGAAAAGTCTTCAGCCTGGATTTAAAAGTAGTCAGAGTTGCAGCGGACCTGCAGGTTTCTGGTAGTTTGTTCCAGATATTTGGAGCATAATAACTGAACGCTGCTTTATCATGTTTAGTTCTGACTCTGGGGACAGAAAGCTGACCAGTCCCTGAAGACCTGAGAGTTCTGGATGGTTCATAATTTAGCAGTAGGTCAGACATGTATTTTGGGCCTAAACCATTCAAAGCTTTATAAACCGGCAACAATATTTTTGAAATCTATTCTTTGACACACAGGAAGCCAGTGTAAGGACTTCAGAACAGGAGTGATGTGATCCACTTTCTTAGTGTTAGTGAGGACTCGAGCAGTAGCGTTCTGAATTAGCTGCAGCTTTCTAATAGATTTTTTAGTGAGACCTGTGAAGACACCATTGCAGTAGTCGAGTCTACTGAAGATAAAAGCATGGACAAGTTTTTCCAAATCCTGCTGTGACATTAGTCTTTTAATCCTAGATATGTTCTTTAGGTGATAGTAGGCTGATTTAGTAACTGTTTTAATGTGACTGTTGAAACTCAGGTCAGAGTCCATGACTACACCTAGATTTCTGGTTTTATCTGTTGTTTTGAACAATGCAGACTGAAGCTCAGCGCTAACTTTTATACGTTCTGCCTTGGCTCCAAAAACCATTACCTCAGTTTTATCTTTGTTTAATTGGAGAAAGTTCTGACACATCCAGTCATTGATTTGTTCAATGCACTTACTCAGTGTTTGAATTGGAGCATAATCTCCTGGTGAAATTGTTACGTAAATTTGTGTGTCATCCGCATAGCTATGGTAACTTATTTTGTTGTTTTTCATTATCTGAGCCAGTGGTAGCATGTAGATGTTAAAGAGAAGAGGCCCCAAGATGGAGCCTTGAGGTACCCCACATGTCATATTTGTCAACTCCGATGTGTATTTACCTATAGAAACAACGTTTTTTCTGTCCTTTAAGTAGGACTCAAACCAATTTAGAACTGTTGCCGAAAGTCCCACCCAGTTTTCTTGTCGGTCTAGTAATATGTTGTGGTCAACAGTGTCAAACGCAGCACTGAGATCTAATAATACTAACACTGAAGTTCTGCCACTGTCTGTGTTTAAGTGGATGTCATTGAAGACCTTTACAAGAGCAGTCTCAGTGCTGTGGTTTGGACGAAA